TGCATACATGTAATATGTAAAAATAAAACATAATAAATACAATTCTCGACAAAACCTCTTTTGTCATGATATAATTATATAAAAATACCATTTCATGGTATCTTAAGATTTTGACGCCACCTTGAAATACGGCACCACTTGCTATCTTTTTTGGGTCATTTCACTACACCATTTGGCCCCCTATAAATACATCCTTGCCACAAACTTTTTTTCGAATTATTGAAGCTCAAGGCTTAAGTTGTATCAATATGTGTTGTGTAATATTTTAATATGTTTTAAAAATGGGTTAAAATAGTCTAATGCATACTAGTGTGTCGCCAAAAAAATGTTCATTTAGATTGTACTATGTTCAAAGTATAAATATATGACATTATTATGGCGTTATGATGTAATAGTATAACCACAGAATAATACAAAACCATGGTAAAACCCCTGCTGATAATAAAAACGATTGCAGTATGCAGTATGCAGTATGCAGTATGCAGTATCATTTGCAATTTACAATAAATATACTCAATCTACATAGAAGTATACAATCGTTAGTTTTTCAAAAATCCATTTGATATTTTAAGTGTGTCACTATTTTTATAGATCTAAATTAGGGTTGTAAAAAAGGTTGAGAAACATTGGTTTAATTCACCCTAAACAGAGTAAGAAAAGATAACATTTTTTTTTAGTTTGCTGTCACCTGTTTTCAGAGCAAGGTTTGTACTTATATATTAGTCCCATGTGTATTTTTATGTCATGTAGGTACTTTATACTTATGAAAGTTTGCAGTACATACCTAATTGAATGAGACAGATAACAAAATATGTATTTTGTACATTTCAAAAAAAAACATAAAGCAGCTACGTAAGGTACTAATAATGAATACATTATTAAAACTTTTTTGGCTATGATTATTATCTCTTATCACGTTTAGTACGATTTTATATAGTTCAAAATGTAATGATGTTGATTAAACTATAAAACTTAGGTATAGCACATGGAAAATTAATCATTTTATTATGCCAAACCACTTTAAATATTTATTATTGCATTCTCAAAACATTTTTCCCGACATGATAGCCATTATGTCCATTATGTTAAGCACTATTAGTATATTGTATGGAATTGGAGCTAATAATGTAACAAAATATGTGTGTGTGTGAGAGTTTGTATGAATTTAACTAAAGATAGATGTAAACTTGATGTTTTGGTATTTTAGTATCGATAAATACTGAGATATGTATCTAGTTGTACTTAATTCATAAACACGGAGTGTTAAAAATTGCGTTAAGTATTCAGTCAAATACAACTGCACTATTTTAATTATAACATATTTATATTATATAATAAAATTCAATATTCCGAATTTTGTATAATCGTTTTATTTATTACAATTTATAATACATTTGTAACGTAGGTATTGTGCATAAAATATAATTTTTAGTTAGTTTATGCTGCTATATATTGATTGATACCATGATAAATATTATATACCATGAAATATGTATATTATAATACGCTTCAATAAATAAATTTATCTTATAGTTAATATTATATAGTTTTAATGTAGCTTTACATGATAAACATGATAAATTATATACTAAAATAATTGAATTAGAATTTATGAAAATTTTCATTGTTGCAGTTAGGTAGGTTACGTTTTTTCGGCTAATGGGTTTCTAAGTTGTTATTTAAAAATAACAAATAAAATAGGAAAATAATGAAATAAAATAAATATAATACAATTTCTGAATGTAGAAAACTATTTCATACATTTTAAAACTTGTTCGATCAATTTTATTAATCTTTCGATTTTAAAGTTTAGGCTGGTTAAACAATAGCAAAAGTTTGAGGGTGCCTTGGAAAAGTTTTCATTCATCAGTTTTAATTAACAGTAAAATAATTAAATCACGTAATAAATATTAAGTTAAATTGTCACACAAAGAATTAATTTACCTAGTATGGGTTATATATATTTTATAGGGAAATAATTATCATATTTTAATTTTTATTGGCTTAAAATATAAACGTAACAATATAATGCTAATTTGGAAATCGATATTTTAAGTACGTTTATTAATATATTTAATTATTTTCTAAATGACTCTTTTGAACAATATCATGTAAACATTAATTAATATATATAGATAGCCCATACTATAATAAATATTGGAAACGCCTATAACGTTTCAAATGGAGCCAGAATTACAGTAGTAATGGATTCCTGACAAAAGAATGCGCTAACGTGCCATATAAACATTTGTTATCTCCATTATATTGTTATCTTATTATTAATATCTTTGATATCAGATTGGTCATACCTCCGCTGTTAAAATATATAAAATTTTAACCATTAACCTTTATAAACTGAGTTAATTTTGTTAACTTCTCACATTCATAAGTTCAGTATCTAAGGTTACGCCTTAAAAGTAAATTTAAAGTTATAACTTTATAAGTTTGTTTTATAAAATCACTTTTGGACAATGTACGATGTGGCAATAGCTTATTAATCATTGATATAATATTATGTAAAATATAAGTGAAGTATATAACTATAATTTATTATTCTTACACATATTAGATTATTATTATTATTATTATTAATAACAACAACAACAATAATAATAATAATAATAATAATAATAATAATAATAATAATAATAATAATAATAATAATAATAATAATAATCTTATGAAATGCATTAAAACAAATTCCAATTATAAAATTATAGTAACACGGCGTCCTGGATAGGCAATATAGGTACATCAGGTTGCATAAACTAAAAGCAAATACACAAGTATAAGCATAATACATGATAACAAAAAATAAGCTAGTAGTGGGGTTTAAATAATAGTTAATTATAAATAGTTTTACATTAAATAATACAATTAAATAAGTTTACTTTAAGGAATTATGTTGCAATTGAATATTTAATCCATCTAGCGGCCATCCTTACGTATTTATTAACACGTTTACTAAACAAAAATTATTTATAATGTTTGAATATAATTTGATTGCTAAATATCTTAATATGTATTTATGCTGTTTAAATAACATCAACATTATAATGTACAAAACATCGAAACTCGTTATAAAAGAAACACGTCCGTGTTTTGCACATTCGTCTTGACTTTTCATTACAAAAATTCAATTTCTATTCTGGGTTTATTGCCACAATACACATTATTTGTGTTCGTAATTTCGGAAAGGTCGCGAATTTGATAACATCTAAGAGGGTTGTAAATAAAACAAGAAAATTCTTGTGAATAAAATGTACAAGTACCTACTAAAAATAGAAAAGTTATTAAGACTTTTAATTAAGTTATAAGGAATAAACTGAATTGATACCATTCACTTCGATAAGTAATTTTATGATGTTTAAATCTTATAATATTTTAAATATTTTAAAATTTGTTAGGTTTTAACCATTTTGAGGTACAGTTTTGAAAACGTATTGATTGAAGAACTAAATAGCTTATTTATGGATGAATTCTCTTTAATGATTTATAATAATTGTACACCATTTCATGAAAATACGTGCATTATTTTTTTTAATGAATCAATTACAAGTATAATTACAACCTCCAATATTATGATTGAAGTTTAATGAAACAATTGATTATGCTACTAATTTTCAATCTTATAGTTCAACTATTCAAGTAATACATTGTTTTAAAATAGAATTTATTTTTCTTGTGTTAGTCAAATAAAACTTTGTCTTATATATTGTATATGAAAACCTGCAAGATCCACACGAAAATTAATTGTTTTGTCTTTTTATTCTCCGTTTATTTCTAATATTATTATATTTTACGAGTTTAGCAATTTTATAGATAATTTGAATTACTTCAATTAAATATATTACCCGAATATTATGTTATTAGGTAATATAATAGAAAAATAATTTTTTTGAATCAATTCAATTCTTTGAGGTAGTTATCTCGCCACCCTGATGTTTGTATGTGACCTGGCCATATAAATCCATATTATGAAGTCTATATATAACCAGACTAAACTCGGCGATTCAAGTGCTCCGTTACAGCGATTGTGGAGAGAAGTAGTATGGAATTTGCAGTGTTTATCGTGTCTGAATGATAATGTATAACCGGGATGTCGGTAAACCACAATATGCATTGTATTTATTATGTCACGTGGAGAAGTGTAACTGCAGCACTTAGTAAGGACCGCCTAAAGCCGGGTTCTTCGTCTGTCGTAGTGTCATATCCGAATGTTAAGCTGGGCCCAACTCTGGACATCTCCCGATAGATCGTATTTATAGTGAACGATACTACAATTACCTCGACCAATTAAAATACTTTAAAATTCACACGACATGATTGCAGACGAGACTTAACTGTCAATTGTAAACCGTTATTTCCGGAGAAATTTCATTGCTGTGATTGGCTGAAGCTAGTGGTGGTCAGTAAGCTGTAGGTATACCATGCAATGTTACTGTATACAAATATTAATGTATATACATGCATACAGGCATACTCTCGAGAATAAAATCCAATTCTACGCATGATACATGTTATATCAGTTACCATTTTCCATTCAATTACATCACTACAAAACTCGAATTACTTTATCACATTAAAAATGATCATAAATAAAAAAATGATTTTTTTCGGAAATCACGGTGCAGTGTGAAGTCTGTCTCCTTAAGCCATGATATGAATCTCCGGGTCATCAGAGTCGTCGGCGAGCCAGCGTGCCAGCGTGGTGCTCGAAGACCCGCCGTGTCAAGGGACCGCTCGTCGAGTCTTCCGGCGAAGTCCATCGCGTCGGTCAGCAAAGTCGGCTGCGGCGTCGACGGTGTGGCTGTTGCCGCCACTGCTGCGGTGATAGCGACGGTGGCAGCGGCGGCGGCGGTGGATGCTGTGCCGCACAATCGATGGGGGTCGATACGGGTGGCCACTTGCCATGCGCCACAGCCACCGACACCAACGACGACGCCGCCGCCACCGGCACCGCCACCGCGGCCGCAGCCACAAAATACGCACGCAGTGTGTCAGTCAGTCGCGTACGTACGCCGGCGGCCGGTCCGTCTGTCGTGTCCGTCTGTGTGTCTACACGTTTCCGTGGCCGCGGTCGTCTGTTCGTCCGTCCGTCCGTCCGCCTCGTCCACCAACCAGTCAGTGGTCGTCGTCGTGTAATTACAAATAGTTGTTTTTGTGTTCTCTTCGCCGCCGCCGTGGCATTTGAATTTTCTCGGTCTCGCCGTCGTCGCCACCCTTCATCCCTTTCCACCTGTTTGCCGAAAACGCGAGTCGACGTGTTCCTCATCTGACGACCGTTTTATGCATTCTCGATTGGTTTTCTCGTTCTGTGACGCCTCAAACGTCGACCGGTCCGCCACCGCGCCCGAGTCTTCTGACCGCCGCACCTGTTTCCGCCTCCGTCGCGACCGTCGCCAGTGGCTCGTCGTGATCTTCAAAAAGTTATTTCGTACACCGTCCCTCCCCCGTGAAGCTTTGCGTGCCGTATTATAAAAAATTATGATGTTATAAAATATGTTATTGTCACCCTCTTCCTAACCTCCCGACCTTATACGATTTCCGATTAGTTCGTTTTTGAGTTTTCAAGTTTTGTGTGTACATTCGCGTTACAGCAGCATCATAGCAGAGCACTTCCGTTTTCCGATGATATGTGAGTAATACATACGTTAATTATTTTAGTATATACTTGCATAAGGTGCCCAATCACACGGACCTTCGAGGTTTGAGTGCATGAACCCACTGGGCCCACTTTATAACTAATACAATTTTAACACCGTCATAAGTATTGCATTTATTATAATACTTTGGATATGCTCGTGCTGGTCGTCTTTGCGGGTTTGATTGTCCGGAAATTCGTTTCTCCGTGATATCTCAGTTCATCTGACCGGGTCTTGTCGTTTCTTTTCCGCCCTCTCGGGTCGATCCATTAATCAGTTGGAGTGTTGAACGACGTGCAGCGTGACGCCTACATGCATATATATCACGATAATTGATGTCTTTTCGAAATCGTTAAGTTATGGAAATCATTTTATAGGCACTGTGAGTAAGGGGGATGATTGTATTAATTGGTATTATTATAATTTGTCGCATATCTTATGCGTTGAAGCTCAGTGTCACGTGGTATATGCTTGGTTATTCATGCCAGCCAAAGAATGTGTTAAATTTTAATTCACGAAAATTCCGAAAAATGCTAATTTCTCATGTCGACGCAAATAGGTTTTATGATATTATGGCACCTACATTAAAAAAAAAATTGGTGTGTTACCTAGGTTTTATAGCAATATTGCTTGTAACGTATTTTATCGTCAATATCTATCGCTGCCGCTACCACACTGATCGTGGTGTTAATATAACGTTGACAAAATTGTTCATGTAAGTGTAGTTTTTATATATGCATACACTGTATACTTTTGGTCTAAAACTATATAGTATTATATATAACTGTACTTATAATAATGTACTACGATTATGGTTTAAGCCCGTGGACCATGGCACTTATAAAGGAAAAGAGGGAATGGTTTCTGGATACGGACTCGACGAGGCAGAAGTAAAAGTATCGGTAATACGCGTCTGTAGTGAATTTAGTATGACAGAGACGAATACGCGGTATACTGTAGTATAAAGCTTTCAAGCAACTATTTAATTGCGGATCGGGAAATCGCTAATAGTGTGTAAAATGGGAATCAATGAAAATGTTTCACATGAATGCCTGCCTGTTCGATATCGAATTTATCTTGGTACCGTCAAATTTACAAGTAAATTTATATGTGACTTTAAATATAATCGATGGAAGTTTTCAAAACTATTGATAGCCACTAAACGTATCCAATTAATTTAAGTATTGTTGGCGTATATTATTTATTTACCAAATTGGACAATATTTTGAAGAAATAATAATTGATTGATTATAAGTATAAATATAATATAATATTTCAATGAACTAATAAGTTTAATATTTATTGAAAAATAAAAATTGTACAATTATAATAATTACCAAATAAAGATTATGTACATGTATGAAAAATAATATATTTTATCAAAAAAACAAAAACCATAGAGTGTTTGTCACTTATACTGTAAGATTTAAATCAAATTAAATTATTATCTTTCAATTCAAGAATTCTTCACATTTTTTATCGATCAATTTACTCATTGTGTTTGGCTTATTCTACTATAAAAGATCATTAACATTAAATCATTTTGCTTGCAAATATGAAAATGTATTATGAGACATTCGATCTAGATTAGATGCCTAAATGGGATTTTGAATGTTTATTTCTTTGATTGTATGTATATAATGAAGAGCTACAATTGAGAAAATTAATAACTAAAAATCTTTTAGCTAAATTGTATATTATTAAAATTGAAAAAACTTATAACTATAAATATTATATGAAAAATCAAAATTATTAAAGATAACAAGCTGAAAGATATTTTAAACCTAAGTTGGTTTGGTGCTCCTCTATTCATTACAATTACGTGTTCCAAAAGGGTATAAAGTGGTTAAAGGAGGCGTAGTCGAGATGTTTAAGCTCTTGACAACTTAATAAATGTCCTCGTAAAACTTGTTACAGCCTTCTATCACTGTTCATCATTTTTTTTATCAATATATTTTAATATTATATAAAAACTTTTATATTTTGAATAATATTGTAATTTATAATGCTATTTTTGAGTTTATACTTTTATGTTTAAAAAACAATTTATCGAATTCTTTAAAAAATGTAATGTTACAAAATGTATTAAATCATATTTAATTTTCTTGGAATTTATATAAGTATCTCATTATCGGTATTCGCAGCGAGGATCAGTTATCTATTTACAGATTTTAGATTTAAATAAAATATTATGACATAGTATAATAAGTGTTTATTCAACTTAAACTTAAAATTTAAATACATTATATTTTTAAGCAACTTTTATTATAAAATATATATTTCATGAAACTTATTGGGGTAATAGGTAGTATGAGAAATATATAGTTATTGCATATTTGTAAACATTTAATTGTTATCCTAAAATATTATTTGGTCAGTAAATTAATTTGACTTAATAACATAACTTATAGTTGATTAAAGAAATTAAAAAAAATATGTTTGCATTTTCATTACCTATCTATATTTGTTAAAGAAAAAATATATACCAAAATGTCATAAACCACCATTCTATTACCACTTGTTGCTTTAATATAGTCTAATACCCGAGTGTAAAATGCGTATTGTGTAGTATAAAGTTTTTTTCTGTTTCCAATTCTTGTAATAGAGCTTTTATAGGAATATACTTTTACCTCAGTAAGATACGTAATTCATCACTGCTAACTACTATTGTAATATGTAATTTAAGAATCGCTTTCAATACTTAGAGATACACTATTTATACGTGCTTATATTATGTAAACACTCTTAAACGTAACTACTTATATAAACCTAGATATGTTTAGTATAACTATAACATACATATTTAACGGTATGTGGGCTCAACACAAATACAAACTATGCTTGTAATTTAGAATAATGTAACTAAAAATAAGATTCTACATTATTAATTTATTGTTCTAATTAAATTAATATTACTGGAAAGGTACTTAATCAATCAAAACATGAATAATTCAAGTATAATTACTGATCAGTTATTATTAACATTAAGTCCATGTAATATGAAAATTAATTATAGTTTTCATACTAATCTATTATGATTTGTGAGTAATACATAGTTCCATAAATAAATGAAATAAAAAATACATTGGTTTAAACTTAAAAGAAATAACAATAGTTTATGTAAATATTATTATTATCGTCCTTTAGTGCTGTGTTAAATTTGGTTGATGTTATTAACTTGATGATATAATAATTTTTTTTTAACTATCTAAATTAAAATCTGTTCTAACTATTATGTTACATATTACTATATTACTATATTACTATTAACCTACAGTTCCAAAAAAAAAACCCTACAGTTCCAAACCCTACAGTACCTCCGGCTAATAACCTCGTAGTTGATGCCATAAACAATTAAAAAAAAAAAAAAATAATAATTCAATAAGGGTAATATTTCATTAAGATTTCCATTATTACGTTAAAAGTAGAGTGAAGGCTCCTACAGCTATTAAAAAACTCTAAAACAATATTTTTACCTTAACACCCAATGATTTTTCTCGAAAAGTTGTTTTAATGATTTTTGTTTAGCTTTCATACAACACAATATGGAAAGCGTAGAATTCTAACCAGAAATGTTCATATTTCGTCTCTTGGAATGTATGGTGTACGAATTTTACATATTTTATTTCCGAAAGAAACTTCTTGTGACATTTAAACTTTAATGTGGTACACAATTTTATTATTTCCGTGAGTTAGACGCGTGTTCTAAACGAACTAATGCGATAAATCAGAACAGCTGCTCTTTGACCTGTAAACACCAAATACTTACGAACCGAATATTTCGTATGCGTTTGTTTTCATGGTAGAGAGTGGAGAAGTTATGGGGGTGTAATTTAAAGCCAACGACTGTTTGTATCGCCCTGGAATTTCGCTTACCATTTAGATGTGTGTGCCATTGCTAAGAGAGAACAGTCACACACGGATAGCCTGGATAAACAATAGGGCCTGATATTTCTTTTTCTGGCTATTCACCCAATCTATTCATTGGATTTCTCTTTTTTTCGACATTGTTTTACCATTTAGGAAGATATAGATGAGGGCATTTGGTCGTTTGGAGTGGTTCTTCTTGAAATCTGGTGATAAAAAATGGCGATAAAATATTTATTGCGTACAGACGTTTGGTATTGGTGAGTTTGTATTTTCTGTAAATTTTCATGTATGCAAAAATAAATATTTTATTTAATACACATTACATATAGTATAATATTCAAATAGGTAATGTTGTTCATTTATTAAAAGTTAAAAGTTACAAAATGTAATTTGTTATTTTTTAGTTTTCAAGTATTTTTTTTATGTATATAAAATATTTACAATAGGTAATTAATATGTAATTCATTTCATATTAATGTATTAATATAATGTATATTATGTTATGTTATACATTTTAAAGATGTGTATAAATAATTGATTTTTATTTAACAAGGTAAAAAAAATATTTTTAAGTAAATATGTTTTTGTAGCTTACGTTAAAAAATCTAAATAGTTATTATAGAGTTGTTAAAATTATAATAAACTACATTCATCAATTTCAATTCTTTTTTTTAACCCAGTGCTCTTTTGTTCTTAAAATGTTTAATCATAATGATATATATTGATATTGAATAAATGCGTTTCGAAAGCTGTTATTATGCAAAATAACTCTACTTATTTATCTTAAGAGGACCCTACATCCAAATGTATTTTCTCTGTCTTACAAAAGTAGAACATAGCAAAAACTGTTTTGCGTGGGAAGATCCACTCAGTCTGTACTCTGCAGTCCTATTAGAGACACTAAAAGTGTAGGTATACAATATAGAAGATAATATTTTCTGTGTCGTAGCGTTTTTATTCGTTTGATATCATTAATAAGAAAAAAGTTAAAATATTTTTACAAGTTTTTGACAGACTAGAAAATCACTCTAACTCACTAATGAAAGAGCTACATACCATCTTATTACTTGAAAATCCACAACGTAGACTCAAAAGGAATTGGTGTCGTGATCATTTAAATTAA